TTTTCGAATGTGATATCAGTAGAAATCTTGGTATCCGCAAGCCGAGATACATCAAGCAGCATTTGCCCAAATCTCTTAGCATTAGCCGAGAGAAGCTTGCTGTTATGCACTTGGGCTTGAGCCGCTTTGCGAAAATCAGCTTCTTGCTGTGGAGACTGATGTTCGGGCACGGAGATGGTGAGCTCAATGCTTCTCAACAAGGAGGAGGCGTACTGTTCATGTTGCGCAATTTCCTCCGAGATGGCTTGTTCTACGGATTGCAAAGCGTTAGCAAATACTTGGCAGAATTGCTCCTGCTTCTCTGGACCTTGGGTTGCCAGATCATGAAGCGATTGTTCCAAAGATCTACGGAGATCGTTGGGACCTTCCATGACAGCAATCCTCATGCTTGGTGTTTTTGATGATGTGGAAGAAGTTGTACGTGTACTGAAATCAAAATCTTGTGTCACACGGGTAGGTGAACCCAGCAAATTGTGATGAGAAATCGGTGAATCGCGTAGAATATACACGATTCCTTTTCATGTGTATTGGGTATGCAAGGTGCTAGTGAGAAGGTTGCGATCTTTGTTGATGACTCCTATCCTCTGTTCGTGGACACGGAAGAGAAGTTTGCTTCCTTTCATCTTCAGCGTCCATTTTTCAATTGTAGGGTGGATGACATCACTCAAACCCACGCGGCCATTAAATGCAACTTCAGATGCAACATGAATTTCGGAGGATCAATTTGCCCGACCAGCACACAAATAATGCATTAAAACAGCTAATGTTCGAGTGATTCTCGTGCTATCAAGATTTGACACGACAGAAAAAGATTTTGACCGGTCTTGGCGCTGAACACAAAAACCCAATACACACGAAACGGAAATTGTCATCACTTTTTCACAGGCACACAGAATTCCAAAACACACAAAATCGCACAAGCAACAAAATAATCTCTTTCTCACAATAGATAGCATCTACCATCATGGACACCATCCGAAAAAGAACCAAGGCTGCTTGGACGGCTCCAAAGAATGCCGTTCGAGTGGAGCCAAAGACGTACTTTGCCAATGAACGTACTTTTATCCAGTGGGTGAGCGCTGCACTG